AATAGATCTCTTGAAAGTTCCAAAGCGTTCTCATGAACACCGTCTGCCCCGTTTTCGCCGGTTCCGAAATTCAATTTTTAAGTCCGGAACCCGCCTATCCCGACGTTTTCCAGAATTGTACCGTGGGTCTCACATATTTTTCAAATTAATTTTAAATAAAAAACTAATGCAAGTTTTTTATCCTACGCCTTTTTTTTGATGTTTGCGGTTCGCTTTCGTCTCAATAAAACCTAAGAAGTGCTTATTTGCGGAAGTGTCGGAAATGGATTTTGGTCCCGCCCCGCTAAATATTTAAAAACCTTCCCGATGACGCCCATCCGGGCCATTTTGAAACCAGTATCATAATTCATGGGTCCCGCGGGTCCCGATATCTCCCATCTCTAGACTCTATGTTTGGTAGTTTTCATTCACCGCTAGACCAAACATTTGGTCTCTTTAAGTTGGAAAATGTTGTGCTGACAGCCTTAGTTTTGAAATTTATCCTCTCAGAGATTATACATAAGTTCAGGATAACGTCTTGTTTGGCGCGGCTCTCGCGCCCCCGTTCGCGCTTTTTAAGCAACGTGAACAACCCATATTCGAGAATCGGTAACCAGCCCCTGGGGAGAATTGGGTCACGTTAGAAAGAGAGGGAGCTCCCTTGGGCTCACTACAACTTATTCATTTCAAAGGTACACGAAAATATTCGGGGCTATAAATGAATACATCGTTGGTTTATTTGCGTGAAAGTTGAAAACTTGCTATCACCGATTTTTCCACGCTATTGGGGAGCGCTCTTTAAAAAACGGCATCTCAAACATTTTACTAAGTACTTGACCGAGCTGATCATAGAGGTAATAGAATCAAAGAAACTCCTTGCTGGCAGCAGTTCCTACATTTCGCTGATTTTACGGAGACGCCATGCGTTTTATCAACTTATTTTTGCCTTTACTTAACCCAGGAAAGCCATGCTTCGACAAATCGATGACGTAATACGTGTTTGCTAGTCAAATTTAAAAATGTATGCTTATCTTTCTATTTAAAAATTAGACATGATAAATTTTCCCACATTCACATAATTTTTTTATTCCCTTGTTATTTTCACATAGACTGTTTCCTTCCAAATTTTAGTTAAAGTTTTGTTAAGAAATGTTAATAAAAACCAACGGAAGTGAAAAAATAGTAATTCTATTTTTCAATCTCGGTATCTGGGTATCTGAAAAGGTGGTTACCCTATTACTCACACATGGTGATGTTTAAGGCTCAATTACTGAAAGCATAATGTTAATTTTAACGACATGAAATTCGGTATTCATTCTACTAAAGATATTAGCAATTAGTGACACGCATGACAAGATATTAGTGACACTTAAAGGTACTTAGACTCGAGACTTTTAAGCCTCTCCTCGTAGATCATTATGAGTTTTTTTTTAGCAATTGCCACCGACACAAAGAGAATACTTTTCATGGTCGCCAATAAGAGCTCAATATCTTCTACCATCACGACTCAGCGATTTGAGGCGGTCAGGAATGGCTTGGTATTTTTTGAGAACCTATGTATGCATAGCATATAACAGCACTCAGAAAGAACTTACGTATTTAGATGTCAATACGACTGAATTACGCTTTAAAATAAAACCTTTTTGTAGAGCGAATAAGCTTGTCCTACTTTCTTTGAGTATTAGTTTTAAGGGCCCGGTTTCTCGGATCACTTTTTCTAAGAGTCTCATTCGCTCAATTGGCAGGAGTACGACTAAAGGGTTAAAGGGGCATATCCAAAATAGCTCAAAAAAGTGCTAGATAAACGACCACCTCAATATAGTCCTAAGTATGTGGCGATCAACACGTTAGCTGTTTTCGGTCGAAACTTACAAGGGTATTATATACCGAGGTTGCAGGACATCGGTAACCCTGCCTTGGGCTATTTGAACGTTCAAACAGTTTGCAAATAAAGTAAATAAAAAAGATACGCTAGCCTTTAATACTCGACTTTAACTCCTCAGTTCCTACAGATTTAGTATGAATAGTATAGCAGTAATGACAAAAACAACTGCACAACAATAACCTCAGCTCATTTATACCTTGTCATCATTTTAAGTCAAGCTGACTTTTATATTCTTCTTTATTCCATTTGATTGCATTTCCTGCAACAATGACTTTTAATCTATTTATATGTTGCTGTTTTTTTTTTTTTGCAAACCAACAGCAGGTGGAATTGAGCTTCAAAACGGGTGAGATAATACTCGTTTATGGTGATATGGACGAAGATGGTTTCTATATGGGTGAATTGGACGGTATACGGGGTCTTGTACCGTCGAATTTTCTCGCCGATGCACCCGATCAGTACAACAATCAAATGGGCCCGGCGGGACGTGGTGGCTTGAGTCAGCGGGGTAGAGGACAAGGCCCCGGCGCTAGAGGGCCACCACCGCCTCCCAGAGATAATATGATGCCCGGCATGGCCGGTCAGCGAGGTTCAACCGGCAAACGTAAGTGAATTTTGTATCAATTTCTTTGTCATTTACACTTATACATACATACATATATGTATGTACATGCATACATATACATTTGTATTGTATACATATACATACGTGAAAATATTTGTCTGTATGTACGCATAACTTACTCGTGCTACTTAATATTAATCTACTAACAAACAGTAAACAAGGCATAAAAAACAACAAAAAAGAATATAAAAAAAAAAATATATAAAACAGGAAAACGACAAATTACTTATATACAACAACAGCAATACGTGTACTTGTATTTCTTATAACTGTCTTTTTTCTGCAATTTTTATGTGATTATAAGTTTGTAATTTTTATTCTATTTTCATTTTTTCATTTCATTTTTATTTGCCTTCGAATGAAACAATAAAATGTACAGTTGAAGGTCAGTTTCTACAAACAGTTAATTGCTATGTACCTACTTATTGTATAATACTATATTTATACATATGTTTATGAAATACATACATATCTACTTACATAATTTGATTTTATTTAACCTCTTTATGTGATACTACATTTTCAATTCAGTTACGCATAAAACAAAAACAAAAAACATAAAAAAAAATTTTATACATAAATGCAAATCGCAACTAAATAGCTAATTAGGAGACCAGAAACAATTTGCAAAGAAATATAAAGATTTTTAATATTTTTTTGCGTAAACCACGGTGACCAGACACATACTAGAAAAAACTAAGCGTAAATTTTTCTCAGTGCATACAAATCAGCGCGTTTACTAAACTCAGGTTGTGCTTAAAAAATACTTATTTTCATTCACTGTAGGTATGACTACTACATATAAAATAATAAATGAAAGTAAATTATTTTTCCTGCAAAACTAACGAAAATTTATACAGCAATAATGCGTTTCCAATTAACCAAACATAAAAACAGTATCTAATAAACTTAAGACGAGCGAAAAGTCAGTTACATTTAAGTTTTCTTTTAATTTGGTTTTCTTCCAGCTAAGCTATGCTAAAACATACAATCTACTATTTATATATATATATATTTTTTTTTTAATATAAATTACCTTTTCTACATTTGGAGTTTTTCCTGTCTCGTTTCTTTCCATTTTTTCATTTCTTACGTCCATATTAAGAAAGTTACAAAGTTTTACTCTTGCAGTTTAATATATAGTTTTTCAAAGTTAATACATTTAAAAGCTTCCACAATCCTTTTCTTCCAAATTACTTACATACATACATATATATTTTATAGTTTTTTCGGCACAAGTTCCTTATTTTTCTGTACCATTCTTACTTTAACCTAAAAAAGAAAGTGTTTGCAAAATATAAATAGTTGTTGTTCTTGTTGTTGATGTTGTATTGGTTTTTTTTTGGAATGTGACTTTAAAAAAAGTTATTTGAATCATAACTTATCTTAAACAAAGTTTAAACACCGGGCGCGTTTCGGGCTCTGTGAAGTGGTGAAGTGAAAGGAAAGGATTGGTTATCAAGGAAAAGTATAATTTTGTTTTTTTTTCCTTTAAAAAATATTTCAGTAAATGTATACTTTTGCCAAATTTTAATAATTTTATGCGAAGCTTTAAAAATTGTTCACTTCTTCGTTTCATAGAACGGCGATCGCACTCTAGAGGCGATATCTATTCTAGCGTGGAATAGGGAAGTGAATACAAAATGTTGACGCCAGAGAGAAGAACTAGAGCTTTAACCGATACGAAACGTTATGCTGTCCAAGTACGTCAGGTATTTTATGGAGAAGCGGGTTCAAGTGCAAGGCTTTAACGTCAGTTCATGCTTTAATGCGATACAAAATAAATTGAATATGCATTTAAATTCAATAAAAACAGGAAAATATTTCATGAAAACTTATTTGGCTATGTTCCAAATGTATCTAAAATCTGAAATTGTTCCCACTTTCTCAGCACTGGCTCACGCTAGGGATGTAAATTTTTTGGCTTTTTACGATCCTGGGATTTTCGGAATCCCGGGATTAGTCCTGGTATTTAGATATTCATTACATTTCAGTAACTTAAATCGAAAAAATTGCTTCTAAATTGTTTTAGAAGCTCGTCTACTTTGTGTTTGTTATTTATGGCCTTATAACAATTATATTCAACAATTTTTATTGAGCTTGAGGCCGTTTTAATGAGAAACTATTGTGGAAAAGCAACAATAGTTTGAAAAAACGTTAGAAGTGATAGCTATTTCGGAAATCACCACGTTTCCTCATCAGACTTCTTTCACTGGGATTCGATCCAACGACCCCAGCTGACTCATCCTACCATAAAATATATAGTGAATAAATGGGTTTGAAACCTACTTTTTTATTTAAAGTGGCGGTTTTATTTTTTCTCTCTGATGTCAGGATTTATTTTAAAGGACTTTGAAACTTCAGAGATAAGCATGATTAATTCCAAAAGTTAATTAAAAAATTCAATGCATTGTAGAATAAAAATATGGGTAAATATATATGGTACAAATAAAAGGAAGCAAAGAAGGAAGGAAATTTCTTTAGAAGTTAAAAAACTTAAAATTTTTTGGAGTTACAAGGACGAATAGGCCATTATTTAAGCTCATAAAGTTAGAAGGTCGAAATTCGAGGATGTTATCGAGTTTATATAAGTCCTTAACATATAATTTTTTCAAAAATAAATATTGCGAAATTTCAAGGAAAAAATTTTAAAAGGACATTTGCAATACTTACAAGTCCATGTGCATAAAAAACATTGAATCTGATTAAATTCTACAGAATTTCGTCTTCAACGTGATACCCACACTTCTTCTCTAGGCACATTTCACTGAATTTTTTAAATAATTTTGGAATTACTTAACCCAGGGTGAAAAACTAAAAACGCAATTTTACAATATTTGGATCATGTTTTCACGAATATATAAATTTTTGTGTGTAAAATTTACTATCGCACGGTGTTGTATGTATAATGAGCTAGACATTTATGAAAGAATATAAATTATTAAATAAAAATAAATATAGCCAATACTGCTCAAGAAAAGGAGTTTCTATTATTGCCATCAAAATCAAAATTTCCGAAAATCCCTGGAATATTTGCCAAGAATCTCCGAATTTTTGGAACCTAAAAAAGGCCGGGATCTCGGGGTTAACATTCCTAGTTCACGCTCACCGAAGAATTTCCTTGAAATCTCGAAAATCTTAAAAAATTCCCGCTCTAAAATATTTTTCATACAAATTTCGATGTTTTATGTTGCTCTCACTTTACTGCTTCATAACCTGACTTGGCACCTTAGGTTATGGTTACTATGCATGCTAATTCTGACGAACTTTTGTTCAGACGATTTCGTCGCAACAAAAAAATACGTCTTTGCTTGTTTGTTTCTTATTTTTTTGTTCCGAAGTTATCGTCAAAACAAAAGTTCGTCAGAATACGCATGCATAGTAACCGTAGCCTTAAAATGATTTCCAAAATATCAAAACACATATTCATGAGACTTTTAACATTTCCTAATCTCATTAATTTTATAGACATACATATGTACATACATATATGGGTATTTCCATACAATGTTCACACTTGGCTGATATTGAAATAGATGTTAAAAATTTTTCAAATAAAATCATCGTAATTAATATTAATTTAACTTTAAAATTAGCAAAAGCTGCGAAAACACTTTCTGATAGTTTTTGGGATGAGTTACAATACTTATTATTCTGACTGGTAAGAAATCAAATCAGTCTTAAGAACGCAATCACGAACACAAAAACGGAATTATAACGATTCAAATTTTATTTAAAAAAATCGAAAATAGAATACTTTGAAGATATTTTACCGTGAATAAATTGAATTTGAAACTGCATTATCGTCGCCGCAGCGGTGAAAGCTTCTAACTGCACTTTTCGGTGAAAATAACGGGCGGAAGGTAAATAATTTTGTATTTCCCAGCAAACATTGTGGTAAGTTACCGATTAGAGAACGAATGGAGAACTAGCCACATTCTCCCATCTCAAACGACTCGAAAACTATCGAGAATCATAGCGATCTCAAAAAAAATGGGATATAGTTCTCAATGCGAGAAAATATTAATTCTCTAATCGAGTTCTAATGTTGATCTCTAATGGGATTCGAATGTGAATTTCAAACTGCTGTTTTGCTTTATTAAATAAAACGCTTTGTTGTAAAGTTTGTAGTAAGAAAAATATTTTAAAAATAGTTCTTGAAAACCCCAATTTTTTGTAACCACTTTTTTTATAGAGAATTAAACAAGGATTACGAACATATAATTTTAAATCCCTAATTTAGTGGCCTTCACTATGCAAATCAACTTAAAAAAGTTCAACTGTTAATAGCTAAGTTAGCTTTAGGACAATTTTGACCATCTTATTTGTGGAAATATTAAGCCCGTTTCTTTAGCTTTAAAACGACGTTAAGATGAAGTCTCTACGATGGGCAGAACCCGAGATATAAAGAAGTACATGATTATTCAGAATCACGAAGAGATGCAAACTTTGACAGATCCTATCTCCAAAGAAAAAACCGAAAAAAAATCCACGAACACGTGTTAGCTTATTTCATGTATAGAACCCATAAAAAATTTGAAGCCAATCGAAAGTGTGACACCAAATTTGGTGTCCGATATGAAAAAAATTTCTTTATAGGGGCCGAATATTTCCCGTTTTGTTAAAAGTTATGTGGATTTTCAATTTTAATAGAACAAAGAGGAAACTATCAGAAAAAGTTATTGACGCAAGACAAATAAAATCTTGCGATGAAGCAGCTGATACACCACCTTAAAACTTTTTGGAAGTTAAGTCTTGACGAGCCAAATTTCCTTATACTTACTTGGGAATATTTTCTTTCCTAATATAAATAACGAAATCTACCTTGGATGAAATTATGCATCAATATTTTTATTTCTCTATTTTTAGTTTGAGCAAGTACTCGCCAAATCTTCTTCTTAATCATTTAGTTTACGTTGGAATTTGAAAAAGAAAAAAGAATATTCTTTTCCTATGCATTAAATGTACTGTTACATTCG